TTCTGTTACATCAGCTCTAATCTGTATAAGCACCTCAGAATATTTATTTTTAAATTTGTGATCCAATTTATCAGATTAACTATTTAGCTAAGTCTTTTTAGTTTTTAACCAAGAGCAATAAAGGTATTCATAATGTTTTATTTACCATTTAACTTTTAAGCTTCATGATACTTACCATTAAGTTTTAAAATATTTGTTATAAATTTAGGGAAACCATAGATGTGTTGAATTTCCTAGGTCAGCATGATGCCGCACATCACACCCTTAGTACATGGACCAAATCTTCTGCTTGGAAGAAGCTCTTTGGTGATTTTTAACTTAGGTAGTTTTCCTGTTTCTTACTTGTTCTGAACTTTTCCTGTGTCTGTGGTGTAGACACACATGCAATATTTCCCTAAATGCAGTAGTCAGATGAGGAGGTCAGCGTGGAGTGTTCTGGACTGATTTGGAATTTGGTGGCACAGAATCAGCCACAGCTAGTGAGGCTTCACTTCACCAGCTCCTCTAGGGTTGCTTTTCTAGGTAGTAGCGTGTGTCCTCGCGTGCATCAAGCTCAGTGCCCAGCTTTCCTGCTTGAGACAGGTGGATCCAGGAGTGTAGGAGGGGAAGAGCTCTGGGTTTGTAAGGGTGGCCGAGAGTCTTGACATACCAAGGCCCTTCTTTGTCGAAACTGAAAGCAAAACGTATTTCTTCTGAGAGAACAGTTTCGGAACACAGGAAAGCTGCCGTCTCCTCTCTGTGACACTGCTCTTTAGCATGCTGCCTGTCTTTTCCACCTCTGATAGTTACACAGGGGACATCAGTGGTAAACTGCCTTACAGAGCTGCTGAGAATGTGGTCATGTATTTAGATCAGCAGTGACAGTATTCTAAATACTGGTGTATGTACTGCCAAATTTGACCTTAAAGTTAACCCAGATGCTAATAATATGTTCATTTTATGAATGAACTAATTGAACTCACACATTTCACCAGGGCTGACAGGATAGCTTGGCGGGTAAAGACACTTGCTGCAGAACCTGGTGATCTGACTTTAGTCTCCAGGACCCATGCAGTGGAAGGAGAGTGCTGACTACTGAAAGCTGTCCCCTGACCACCGCACATGCACCCTGGCACCTTCGTCCATGTACAAAGTAGATAAGCACTATCTTAATAATCATTGATAATAGTAGTTAGACAATGCCTCAGACAAAATGTGTGGGATCAAATTAACCCTTTGCGACTTAGCTTCCATGAGAATCGTATTACCCAATTATGCTTGCTTTTGTTTTTATTCCTTTCATTTCTTTAATTTTATTTTAGCCTTAAGGCTGCTCTTAAAATTCATGCTTGACATCTTCAACTTTAATTTCCAGTCATTGATCTGCTTGGAGCTGTTCATGTATTTGATAGACACTTGTGCCAGTTCTTTCCTTTGTGATGTCTGTCAGTAAACTTTAACTTACTGGAAAGTATTTGATAAAGATTTTGGCTTAGTTTAATTCATCTTCAGCATTATATATTAACATTATTATTTTTAATAATGAATTTTCACAATTTTGATTATTTTAGGTTGTCCTCATGTGAAAAAGACAGTTTTTTTTTTAATTTGGTATTTTGTGTGTGGAACCACAGCAGAAACTGCTCATGAATTTCTGCCATGTCTAAGACTTAGCTCACACACCGACTTCCAAAGCAGCCGCACATCAGCTGTGAAACCGGTCATCGCAGACTGGAATGATTGTAATCGTGATGGAGATAATGACCACAGCCAGCTCTGTGTTTGGGTGTTACTCTAAATGCCCAGCCTAAGCTGCCCTTTGTAATCTGAACAGCACCTTTAAGTGTTAATCTAGCGTGTCTCTTTCATGCATGAATCGGACATCTTACTGCAACGGTTCAGCTTAGAGTGAGGCCTTCACTCTGGGTGCCCTGTCCATGCCCCTGAAGTGTCTGCTCTTCCTGCTCACAGTTTCAGAGTAGAAAGAGGGGAAGGTGTGTTTTGAGTATTATTTCCATTTGGAGAAGCCAGGAAGTAGATTGATGTTCCTCAAGTTCACAGAGCTATAAGAAGCTATAAAGAATAGCCAGTATTCTTTCTGCGTTGTCGTGCTGCGTACCTGTAATGATGGGAACAGTACTTAACATACACCGCACGGTCCCTAAAGCATCTTCTGCTCTATGGACAGTCACAACTTAATTGAAGAAACTCACCCATACTGGCATTGGACTTTGCATTTGACTAAGAGGTTGAAAAGTATATCTTAGGTTTATACATTATAAAGCATAAGGATAAAATGAAGATCTGATTCTCTACCAACATTAAAATTATAGTATCACTTTTTCATTATATTTGTTTATGTGGGGTTTTTGTGTCTCATGTTATCTTCCCCAAATTTATTTTTTGGGACAATTATAAATGAAATATAATAAAAATATAAAGCACTAAGATAAAACAAAAACTAGCACATCAGAATTGGACAAACAAAAGGCAAGGAGCCCAGGAGAAGGCACAAGAAACAGAGCTCACTCGTTCTCACACTCAGGAGTCCCGTACAAAGCACTATATTGAAAGCCGTAACATATGCGCAGAGGATACTCTTTCTGTCTCTTCTTCCTTAGGGTTCCCGGAGCCCTGAGGAGAGAGTATTCGTGTTCTTCCACTCTGCGGAGTGTTGACTGTGGTTCTCTGTTTGTTCCCGTCTGCTGCAGGGGAGCTTCCCTGACCATGGTTGAACAAGGCACTGATCTAAGAGTATAACACATGTCATTAAGAGTCATTTATTGTTCAAACAGTAGTATTCTGTTTTACCCTGTATCCCTAGGCTATCTATTCTTGTTTAATGTCAAGGATGGGTTCTTCTGGTGGAGTGAGTCTTAAGTCGAATAAGATATCGATCGATTACTGCTGTGAGCTTCATGGCCACCATTGCCCTAGCATATCTTGCAGACAATGGTTTTTTTGGTTTGTAGAGAAACAGGAAGCAATTCTTATACACTCTTTTTGTTTTTCAATTTCCCCTACTATTTGCATGTCATTGGTAGGCACATTAGCTAAAAGTTATTGCATTAATACTGACGTGTTATGGTGAGCCTACGTGTGTGGATGTCCTTAGAATTCCCTTCTACACTGTGTATTTTATGGGTGTTTACAAGTGAGGAGTTACAGAACCGCAGTCCACATTGACTGCACTAGAAACTGCTGAGGAGGTAGAGGTACTCATGCTTCATTCCCTCTCTAAACTGCTGGCACCCAGTAACCTTCCTACTGTTTCTGAAAGTTGGTATTTTCAGTCATGTACGGGAAACAATATAGTTGGGATTCTTAGCAATATGCATTTAAGACTGCTCCATAATACTCCATCGTATGGATGTGCGAGTTTCTGTACTCGCCGAATGCCTCTGCCATGCTGTGTTCTGTGAGCACTTACCACAAATGCAGCCAACCTCCAGATTCTGTGTACCCACGTCTTCAAGTCTCATAGGTAAAGACCAGGGAGCCCAAGTGGAGTAAGAGTATGTTCAGTTGTATGAGACAATACCAGAGAGAGACGCTTTCCCATTTGGAATTGATCCAGCAATAAGTGCAAATCCTGTCGTTGTTGGGGTTTGTCCATCCCTACAAACACATACTAGTGCCTATTATTTAAGTTGGATACTTCCCCTATTTTTGATAACAGATCTTTTTCAGTGATATATATTGGAGAAAGGATACCGTTTGTGGCTTGCCTTCATAGAAGTTTTAATTTTTAATCATCTAACTCCTAAAATTTCTGATTCATGATTATTCTTTTGGTATTCCATTTAAAAATAACTTTTCAAACCGTTGGTTACCTTGAGTCTTACATTTTTGCATTTTCCATTTGGGTCTCTAATCTGTTGAATTTTTTCAAAGACAAGAACTTTTTTCTCCTTCTGTCAGCCTGGTCTCTGCGGTAGTGACAGTCCTCATTTCATTCTCTCCCTTCCTCTGTTGCCGGAATCAGTCGCCATATTTGTGTGGGTGTATTCTGTTCTCCTCACGAAGCTGGCTGCTGGCTGCTGGCTGCCGGCTGCTGGCTGCCAGCCGTGTTCTCTTGCTTCCTGTGATTTAATGACGAGTCTCGAGAGCACCTGTGCTCCAGGTGTTTGCCATTGCTTCTTCAGCTGTTTTGGGTCTTTCCATATTAACCTTTCAGGTCAACTTTGTAGCTCCTGAATCACTTGGTTTTAATTAGAATTGGAATTGTGTGGGAATGGTGGGTACCTTGGTGACATTGACTGTATCTTCCTTCCCATGAATACAGATAATCTCCATTTACTTAAACCTTCGTTTTCTTCACCGGGATTTCCACACTTTCCCTCATGTTCAATCTTCTATACACATCGTTAGGTCTAGGCCTAAGTATTTTATAACTTGGAACTAAAATCAATAATGTTAATGGCAAGGACTTGATTTCTGTAAGTTGTCCTGATATGCTGGAAACACCACTGCTGTTTATTAATCCCAGCAGTGTTCAGTTGTTATTAGATTTTCTTTATTTACAATCCATAGCATTTTTTAAAAACAAAGACAGGTTTAATTTCCTCCTCTTTTACTTGCACGTCTCCTATTTCATTGTGTTTTGAGGACATCCTGTAAGCTATTGAATAGAATAAACGAGAGGGATCTTTTTGCCTTTCTCCAGATCTTAATACAAAAGAATCTTGAGCCTCCCTATTATTTGTGATAACTATGGGATTATTCTTTTTATATGTTCTTTATCTGTGTGCTTCTAGGTTGCTGATTGTTTTCATCACAAATGAATATCAGATTTTCACTGCTGATAATTGTTATCACAGTATTTTTCTTTAGCCTCTGGGATAGCGCACTAGCCTTGCACACCTGTAATAAATTTCACTTGATTATTATGTATGTTTATTTTCATGCATTATCTGATGGCACTGGCTGATATTTTGTTAATATGTGTGCATGTATTTTCATGAGAGTTAATGTTCTGTAGTTTTCTTTTCTTGTAATGTCTTTATTTGTTTTTTTATTAGGGTAATGCTGGCCTCACAGAATGAGTTAGTAAGTATTTCCTCTGCTTCTATTTTCTACAAGAGACTGTGGAGATTCAGTTCCATATCTTCCTTCTATGTTTGGCATTTACTTATCAGTAAATTTATATGGGCCTGCTGCTTTTTGTCTGATTAAGGGATAGGTCCAGGCATGTGATCTGTTTCTTCTTGTGTGACACTTAGTGGTCTCTGTCCTCTGGGAACTGATCTCCCACTCTTCTCCTTTCTCTGATTTTAACACCTGTTAGCATTTCAGTTGTACTCATTTTAGCTTTTTCCAGTGCTTGTCCTATTATTTGTATATGTTTAAGGCATAGTCTAAGGTAGGAATCCCTTCCTCTCTCACCACTCTCTGTATATGAGATTGTTTGTTCTAATTCATCGTTTAGCTTATCCACTTTCTAAGGGCACACTGTGCCGAATCTCCTGTCAGTTTTATCTTACCCCCAGCCTGAGAAGAGGGCGTTGCTGTTTGGTACTAAGGTTGATGTTGTTATGCTTTTTGTAGAATCCCCAGAATTTTGTTCTTTAAAAATCTTGTTAGTATCTTTATTTCCCTTCCTGAGTAGTACAAAGAATCCCGGATGCCTCTGTTGCTTATCGCCACCTCTCCTCAGATATGGGCTATTGAATGGTCTACTCATTCTTTGCTCACAAATCATGCCTGGGTTATTTTGTTGAAACAGTGCTTAAATGCAAATACATTAGCCATCTTAGTTGTTCCTCCACTGCGCATATCTCAGATGTCCAGGGATTATTTCCCTTCTTGTTGACATTTGTTGTATGAATTTCTTTGAAGATTTGTTGATGGTTAGCACTCTTAGTTTGTCTCTCTGCAAATAAAATGTGTATGAAAAGTAGAGAACTCTGTGCTGAATATGTATGGTTTTTTTCTTGTTATTATTTCAAAATAATGCAATATAACAAGTAGTTATTAGTTCACATTCACATTGTGTTGGATTTTTGAAGGGCAACCTGGATGGTTGATAGCGTGTGAATGTGGCTGTGTGTCAGGGCCTTGAATAGGTGCCTGGGGTCAGGGTTCCACATTGACCCAGTTCCTCGTGGATAATGGAGGGACAACTGTGTTTTGTTCTTTTGTTTGGGGGTTTCTTTTTCCTTTTTCCTTCATTTTTTTCATCTTGCAAAATAGTTTTGCTTGGATAAACAACTCTAGATTGGCCATTTGTTTTCTGCCATGTCGTGGTCTTTTGTTTACTAATATTTATTCTGGGATCAGGTCTGCTGATGTGCGGGTGCTCAGGAATGTCTCTCCTCACTCCCAGGTCTGCATCTGCTCTTGAACAGTTTGCCTCCACTTGGAGATTTGTGCCTCTTCTCACTGGTTAGTTAATAATAAAACCACAATAATAAACCATGTCTTTCAAATATTATGACCTTTTACTAGGTGTGTTGTGTATGTATTTCTTACTTACGGAATGGAATGTTTTCAGATCTATAGATCTGTCTTTAATCAGTTCTGGAAAATTCTCAGCAGCTCCCTTTCAGGTGTTTTCTTCTTAGCTGGATTTTATTGAAATCAGTTGTATCTTACTAATCTAATTCGTGTGCTCTGCTCTTCGGTGTGTCAGACTTTTGTTCTTACTAATGCGCCCAGGGTCGTTTCAGGCGGTGTCCCAGTTTGCTCAGTTACCTGTGATTATCAACTTTTTTTTTGCATAATTGTTTGTTACAATTTATTGTATAAAATTCCTATTTGATTATTTTTTCAGATGTGCTTATTTTAATTATCTCTTCCTGTTTGCTTGTTCTTAAAAATAAAAATTTAACATGTAAGTTCTGCCTGAGATATCAATACCAGTTGGTGCAGTATTTTTGTATACTTAATTAGGGCTATGAGCTAGCATGCTAGGTTGTCATTTATTATGATCTTATATTTGGTTTATCTTAATCTGAGAATCTTGAGGTCCTGAATTGAGCATGTTGTCTTTCTCAGACAGTTTCTTCTTGGCAGACTATGCTATATAAATGGGATCATATAATCATATTCTTGGGATTTCTGTCTTTTGAGATTCATATATGGTATGAGAGTGACCAGCCTGGGCCATATGCTGTGACACTGTCTGCTAGGGAGCTGTTAGAGGAGAACTGGAAAGCCCCCTCAGTCCTTGAGTGATGTGGCCTGAGGTTAAGGAGCATCTTCTTGATCTTGGGTGAAATAGCCTGCAGTTAAGACACCCATCAAGAACCAAACGTGGACCGGAAGAAAGGTTAAAGAATCTTTAAATGGAATCAGCATCCGGGAAAAGGGAAGCAGTCCCCTGGCAAGGAGACAAGTCATGCAGAGTGGAGAAAGAATAGAGATGTGGTCTAACTGAGGCTCCGTCTGTTCAGGCTTTCATTCTCTCCATGGTGAGGTGAGCCTGGGCGTGGAAACTGCTGTACCTCCCAAAGCCAACTAAGGAAGCGGTAGTTGAACTCTTGGTTTAGCTGTGCAGCCAGTTCCGTCCTGTTCTGTGTGGCCCAAAGCTGAAAGTGTGTGCATGCAGTAGGAGATAGCTCATTGAATTTATCATTGTGAATTTTTGCTTCACCTCTTGCTCTCTTTGAACCAGGAAGACAGATAATCTATTTACTCACATCAGTTTACCCCTTAGCTGTCTTTGTGGCCACTTTAGGGCCACAAGCTGTTCTTTTGGTTCATTTTTAACTACTAGACTGTTTGGTTTACTTTAAACTAATAGTCACAAGTAGCTGGAGGATTGCTGGCTACAGTCTTAGAATTTGAAATGTTCAAACTGCCTCTTGGAGAAACCATTCCTCCCCAGACCCCTGCCTCCTAGCCTACCCCAAGAGAATTGCACTTACAGAGTCTGTTTCTTATTCTGCTTTTGCCATTGTTCTTCCTGATGATTCTGTAGTCTAAGTTGTGATTGTTTATTTGTTATTTTTATATCCTTTATTATAATTCCATGAAGTGCTGTTGTGAAAGCAGCAGGTTTTGTTAGACAAAGTAGAACGGGGCTTCTTTGTAATGAAGACAGTTTAAAATGATGGATTATAGTGAAAAACAAGTTACATGGCTTCAGAAATATTGCTATTGCTCATTTTTGTTAGCTATAACAACTCCAACTTATATTTTCTTTTAAAACATATTTTTAGTTACCAAAGTAAGTATACATACATAGGAAACATTTTTAATTTTACTACATTTTTTTGTAAACTCAGGAAGTAGTAGTAAAAAATGACGTGTGGAAGAATTAATTAGTTTGTCTGGGAGCCATCTTGGGCAGAAATGTATCAATATTCCAAAAGAACCACTAAGCCAAGAAGATACTGCGTTTTATTTGTTTTTAATAATATTTTTATTATTCCAAGATTTTCATAGTGTATTTTGATATATATATCCCTCAGCTCTTCCCATATTCACTCTTACTTGCAGTCCACCAGATTTTGAATTTTCTTTTTTTATTGTTTTTAATTTGTTTGTGTCTTCTTCCTCCAATCAAGTTCACTTGTATTGTCTACTTATTCTAGGGAGAGGGACTTCTCCTGCAGTGCGGTAGACCCCACCAAACTTATGTCATTGAAGAAAGCTGACTCTGCCTTTCAGGAGCTGGTAGCATTTGCTAGCTCCTGAACAGGGAAGTCAGTGATTGTTACAGTGTTTGCAAGTCCTCCACAAGCAAGCTCAGGCCAGGCAAAATTCCAACATATGGGTAGGGCAGTAACAGTCACTGAGTTCATATGTGCAGCTGCCCTATCATGTCTGGAAAACAAGGTTGAGTGGAAGTCATCCAGCACCTCTGACTCTTACAATTTTCCGCCTCCTTTTCCCTGAGGACCCTACGCCATGAAGGGCAGAGGTATGATAAAGCCGAGCCCTCTGGAGCCGTTTTCTCGGCACGTTAAGTGGTCGCGGTCCCCATCTGTTACAAGTAGAGGCTGTTCTGGGGTTAGGTTAGAGCCGTTCTGACCTCGGGTCTGCAGTGAGTCAGTGGACTCCTCTTAGCTCTCTCTGTTTGATAGACTGGCAGGTTTATGAATGTGTTCTCATTCAAGAAACCGGGGATGTGAGCAACTTTAGATCTTAATTCCTCCACTCTCTAGTTGGCTAGTGTTGTTCTTTCTGTCCATCTAAAATGGAGATGTGTAAGTTTTATTCTTTATCTACATTGACAGCTATGAAAATAAAGCTTATAAAACTGCTTTCTGCCTCTGAGGGCTTTTCAAAGGCCAGGGAGACAATAGGATGGTGTTTAGTTCTGTAGTGTGGGTAGGACACGATGCTTCCTTCGCAGTGGCCTTCCTCTTGTATCCAAACCATTTCTTACGCAAGGCATGTTAGCCAGAGTGAGCATGCTTTTAAATGGAATTTCTTGTTTTCCACTCTCTTTTTCCTTGTGTGCTTTAACTGCTAATAGTGTGACATGGAATATAGATGGAGGTGTCATTTCTATTAGGTTTGATCTTCTGAATAATCGCGTAACTTCTACAAATAGATCACGAATTACCAAAACCATAAAAAAAAAATCAGTGAAAGTCTTAATTCAGTATCTATGTTGGAAAATTTTATCTTACCTTTAGCTATTTTTTAAAAAGAAATACACTTCTATACTGTTTCATTTTTTTCTTTGTTACCTTACAGACTTGATGACAGCTTTGTATGTCTTCTCTCCCCATAGCTTAAGTAGATATTAGTATTTAAAGAAACATGAAGCCACGTGAGGCCTCTATAACCCCAGCACTTGAAAATGGAGGCTGGAAAATAAGGGGTTTGTAGTCATCCTCAGCCATGTACTAAGTTTGAGTCTAGCCTGAGCTATAGGAGAGCTTCTCAAAGTTTGAGTCTAGCCTGAGCTATAGGAGAGCTTCTCAAAATTTGAGTCTAGCCTGAGCTATAGGAGAGCTTCTCAAAGAAAGAGAGAAAGGCAGAGAGAAACTAATGAAGGCCTGGAAAGGAAGGAATACAAATTTGTGTGTGTGTGTGTGTGTGTGTGTGTGTGTGTGTGAGTGAGTGAATGGGACAGCAAGATAGATGGCTCCTCAGTTAAAAAATGTCACTTGCAGCCAGGTCACTGGTACTCACATGATGGAAGGTGAGAACTGA